TTAACGGGAGAGTAGACTTACGCTGCATCTAACGAACTCTCTCTTCCCTCACCAACCTGGTCCCGGTGTCTGGATCAAGTCAAGAAGACCGGCGGTGGCGGGAGAGGGCGCTGGTAGCTGACGCGGCCGGAATCACCCCTAGGCATGAAGCCACGCCTGGCCTGAATCCCAGAGAGTGGGAGCGCCGTAGAGACCACATTAAGAGGGAGTCATTGGTACACGGCTCTCAGTCCGCAGACGGCCACTCCATTCAAACACACATTAAGCTGCCTGTGCATGATTCACTTATCAATGCACAGGCTCTGTTAGCTGAACTGTGGCTAAAAGTCTCAATGACTAACGAATGGGGCCTCAAAGCGCGGGTCCTTTTGGTATTGAGGTGACGTAGGACCCCTGAGGGACAGCAGTTCCGCCAGAAATGTCCTTGACAGTCGAACTTCCTCCATCTCTCTGCATCAGAGAAGCCAATTTAGAGCTAGTTGGCACGTTTAAATATTCTGCCTTTCTAGCAAATATAATTTTAGCCACTCGTCAGAACCGAACGACAGAAGATGTACCGGGTTAAGGAACCTTTACGCTTCCCACGGTTTTGCAATGATTCAGACAGCAAATTTCTTCTAGCTGCTCTGTGCAGTACCATATCTTTTGTAACTCGCATAACTGACAAAAATGACACATTTTAGTTTGCGAAAAAAACCTCTTACGCGTGGATTTCAGTATCAACTGGTGTTTCGATACTCTTTGCAGAAGTTATCAGCCGTTTCATCTAGGTTATACCCACGTGTAACATTGATAACGCCTCTTCATAGCGGTGTGCAATAAATAAAACAACGGTAGCTTATGGAGACATACAAATCGGGGTAAATTCAAAGGCTCGAACAGATCTGGGAATTAAAGCAACAGAAGATAACTGACGCTTCCAAAACCATGATGATTCATGTAATATCTTGCACATAGAAACATAACAGTATAGGGTGTTCTTGAAATTCCTTCCAGAAAATAATACTTTAGCTTTATAAATGCCAATATGAGATCATTGTATGCCACTAGACATAATGTCTTTAAAGATCTGGAATCCTATCGTGCGCGGAATAATCTCCCACGCCTAAAATCAAAGCTGAATTTTATTGGTCATATCTAAAGAGTTCAGTTAATCTACTACGGGTGTCGACTTCAAGGAAAGCCTTCTTGTGGAACATCTAGCGAATCAAGCTGCAATCTACGGTAGGTCCAATCTAAACACTGAAGTAAGG